AGGTCCTCTTCCAGTTTCCAGTTTCTCCATAAAAGAAACAAGATCCATCTATGTGGGCCTTATTGGATTTCTTGGGCTTAAAGGTGTTCAGTCCATAAATTATGGGCCTCCTAGACCACACAAGGTGATTCTTTTGGGCCTCGTACCTTTCCTAGTTTGATGTTAGAAACATCTTTAGCATCACATTGATGCCTTTACTAGGTATCATGTTCAGGCGTATTGCTCAAAGTAAATAAATTTGGACTAGGACCTTTAAGTGTATATAATTCATATCTCTTACGAGATTGTCTCTTAAGACATGAACCCATTCATTGAAGTTGTATCTAGTGAATGTTATTGTTTTATTAAGTCATTAAAAAAATAACAATTAATGGTAACGAGAATGGATTATTTAACTACAAAATTTTAACAATATTCATTTAGTATTTTCAATATTTAAACTCTTTAATAATTAATACCCTTTTAGTTTCCAAAAACATTAATTATCAAAGTCTAGGATCCAAGTTGCAAAACAAATAAATGGTTAGGTATCCTTTATCCCATCTATTTGAATTCAACTCGATATATATCGATTATCAATTATATATTACTATACAATTCCTAGATTTATGGGATCGCTAATAACAAATTTAATTAGACATGTTTGATCTCATCAATGCCTCGAAACTCTTTTGCTTAGGTATCATTTATCACAAAAGATTTCCGATCAAATCATCCAATTTGAAAAACATGTGTAATCGGCCTATAACTTGGGTATAGAAATCGCGAAGACACCCCATCCATCAAAAGATAACACTAAGCGGTTAGGTATCATTTATCCCACTCGTGCATACAAGAGATGTACGAGTGCTCTTCAAAAAAGATTGCATAGATTGAGGTTTGTAAAAAGGGTCTTTTATATGTTTTATAATTCTATTTTTAAAAACATATGATATCATGGTTATTACATGCATATAATAAACCATGGTACCAATTTTCAAAAAGAAAATCACCTTTTAAAGGTTCTATATAAAAAGCTAGTTTTTATATAATTCGACACGATTCAATTTTAATAACCAGTATTAAGTTTGAGTGCATTTGAACCTTTTATATATTTAATAAAACTTCATTTTATTACTTATATATTTGGAGTTTGTATAAGTTACAAAATCACCATTTTAAAAATTATATTTGAGTATTTCAAAATTTGACGTTATTAACGTTTTTATAAAACCAGATTTTATTTTAAAACAATAACTTGTTACATCTTATGTCCACATTATAAATTTTGAAAACCAAACTTCATGTGATGTTTATTTTTTCAAAAAATTATTTTAGCATGTGAAAAACTAATTTATCAACCACACATAATAATTGCATTAAATAAACAACACAAACATACATAAAATATATGTGCATAAACATAACCAACTAATAACATTTTTGCGATTCAACACAAAAAATGTCAAGTCCATTCCTAAAAGGACATTTTAAGGGACCAAAATCTTCTTGTAATGTTGTTGTAGAAGCTCTCACTTCAGTAAACACCATTTGTTTTCAAAAGATTGGAAAGGCTTCTTGAAAGCAATATTTCAGCAACTGTCACTAAAAGTCCAACAACCCTTTGTAAACAACATTAGTGACACTTTTCAGAAATTGTCACCGACTTTCAGCATGTTGTTAAACTCGAAAATTACTCTTTGGTTTTCAAAAAATGGCTCAAACTTCATTTCTTGTTACATTTGTGTACTAATAAATTATTTCTAACAACTAATATATTAATTACAAAAATAAACGAAGAAAACTAACCTATTTAATTTATTACATATCATATGAATAAATAAATTATTACAACAATTTTTATAAAACAACAAACACAACAAACACAATGGTCCTTAGCTAGTTTATGTACATCATACATATCAACATACACATTAAACAACCTTTGTTTTTCTAAGACAACTTTAAATGACAAAAGATGCATGAAAAACTTTTGTCACATAACAATTATAAAGTTGTCATAGAAAATATGTATGAACTTGTTTTTATACAAAACCAAGTTATCCATATTCTCCAAAAACTAAGGGTGCGTTTACTTGCAAAAAAATGGGCCGTTTTCCGGAAAAATTTTCCAAGAAAAATGAGAATTTTGAAAACGCGTTTAGTTCGTATATTTTTCTGAATTTTTCAAGGAAAATGAAAATTTTCCTTTTTTCTAAAATTACAAAGAAGTTGGAAATTTTTGGAAAACCAATAATCATTGTTTTCCACATTTTTCTAATTCCAAAATTTTTCTAAAATATAAACACACACCCACTCCCACCCCATCCACTTCTACCTACCCCCACCTTAACACCCCCAACCCACCACACCCCTACCTACACCCATCCACTCCCAAGCCCACCCCCACCCACACACACACACACAAACATACACACACACCCATCCCCACCCCCACCCCCAACCCTACCACCACAAACACACACATATACACAAACACACAAAGCCACACCTACCCTACCCCTACAAACACACACACATACACACACAAACCCACCCCCACCCCCACAAACACACACACTCACAAACACACACACACACACCCAACACAACTACCATAATCACCGACCTACCATCACCATCACCACCACCACTACCCCATCACCACCACCGCATGTCATCACCACCGCCACCGCCGACCCGCTACTATTTTCTAATAATGAAAACCGATAAAAAAAATACACATCTAAACACGTTTTCTAATTTTCTAAAACTGAAAATGAAGACTGAAGAAGTTTTAACTAAACGCATTTTGTAAATTTTCCAATGAAAAATGAAAACGTTAAACGAAAACTGAAAAGGGAAAATGAAAAACAGAAAATGAAAACTATTTTTCCGTAACTAAACGCAACCTAAGATTTCAAAAAATCAAAAAAGTTTAACCAAACTTGCAAGGTGGCTCTTGATACCAATTGTTGGGATTTTATTCAAAAACTAGTTTCAAAAACAAGAAATTTAGCAACGGAAGACTTGATCATTTTTGAATAACATATATAAGTTAAACCCACCAAGGATCTTCTTGCAAAGTTTGGAAAGAAAAGAAACACAACCAAAGAAGAAAAAGAACAAATAACAACATTTGTAGTTCTTTGGATCCTCTTGGCAGGCTTGGAAGTTGATGAAGAATGATGAACTTTAGAGACACCAACAATAATCCAAATTGATGTAGATGTTAGTCTAAAACTCTTAACTCTTAAGCTTGAAGTTCATAACCAAAGTATGAACTTCAAGAGAGTATAAAAGCAAGTAATATCTTCATGACTTAAGAAGAAAAGGAGAGAGTGTAACATGCCTAGCATGTTACAGTTTTGTGCATGTTCAAGCCAAAGAATGAAATCTTCACTCTCATATATATAGCATGCATAATATACATGGGTCTTTAACCATTAAGAACACATGCTTCTAGTAGGTAGATTTGTTTTCCATGCTTCTCATTACTTTTACATTAAAAAAGTATAAGACCATGCTCTTCTTTTGAATAAATAATTGAAAGCACCATGTCTCTCATTACTTTACATTAAACTATCTTAAAAGTCATATGCTTCCTCTTTTTAGTCTTATTTTATAAAATAATAAAAGAAAGAAGACATAACCTTTATTTTTTATAAACAAAGTTTATAAAATATAAACTTTAACTTTTTGGTAAAAGACAAGAAGAATTCATCTGGTCCAAAATGTTGTGCATGACTTATTAATTCATACCATATGAATTATATATAATGTTACATCCTAATGAAATCTATTATTTCCTAGAAATAACTAATTTCCAATGTAATTATAAGAGTTTATTTAATATTTATTAAAATCAATTTCTAATAAATAATCAATTATATCAAGTTATTGTTAGTGCGACCCTTTAATATCATATGTTAATTAGCAATATCATTTTAATATGATTCTTGAACATATTAGATATTTCAATTTATAGGACATAAGTGATTTCATCATCTCCCTCCTAACGACACGTGTCGCCTCGAAATGTGTACATAATTTATGTTTTCAAGAGATTTTTCTGAACACGTTTGTTGATTGTCTTGAACGTGTTGGTTCTGAATATGTGATCGAAAATTTCATACGAAATGCAATTTTATGTTAAAAACGCATTTGAATTTACAACTTAGGTATATTTGTAACTTTTGCAATTGACGTTTTCGCGAAAATGACATAATTTCTAGTGAAAAATATTCCAATAATGAAATCAAATATTATGGAATAGTCTGAGTTCAAAAACGTAATAAAAAACGCTTAACAAATTGAGTAGCTATCCCAACGAATCATTTCGGTTTTCGTTTCTGGGAAATCAATTATATAACTAACTTATTAGCTTTCTTAAAAAGAACGTAGCTTTTGCATACGATCTCCGTTTTTGACGATCTTTATATGCACGAAGTTGTGTTAACAAGTACTATCCATTTAGAGTGTCATTTGCTACTAAGTATACTTAACACACAAGTTTTTATTTTTCATGTATTAATACCACTTATTTTTGTGAATAATTTTTCGTTTGTTAATGATCAATACCTTTTTGAGACAAGGGGGTATTCCGCATGTAATTTTAAGTGTAATGACTTCATTTCCATTAAAAAACAAGGAATACTATACAATAGGTCCTATTACAAGGGGTTTGTGGTGGTTTGATCGGCAAAAGTTGACATATTTTTACCATTTGTTACACATAATAATATGGAATCTTGAAGTCTAAAGACCTAGAATCAATCATAAAAGCGAAGCTTTTGCATATGTTGGAGTCTCATTTCTCTCCGTAAGGGCTCTTTTGGAGAGACAATCTTAGACTCTATATATATTTATATGGTATCAGAGTCGGCATCATGTATCCTTGTGGCTCACACATCCATGTCTATTGTCTATCCTCATGGAGTCTTTGGATCTATTGGAGAATGTTAATGTATCCCACATTAGTGCGACACATTCTTATAAGTGATTAATATTGCCATGTGATCACAAAGAACACAAATATGAAAGGTGTGGTTTTATATACATTCATATAATGTTGTGATTTTCATAATTAAAGATATTTTACAATTATTTTGAATTTTCAACTGAATTCTTGTTCACCAACACACATGTCATGATTGTGTGAAAGAATCGTTTGTATACATTTGTATTGTGTTAGAATTCTGAGTTTGACCACTGTTGTAACTATGTTGACCTTGCCTCTCACGCCGAAAGTCTCTCATCGCTTTGAATCTCAGATCTTCGGAGTAACCGTTTGCCTCCGGAATTATCTCCGGCACACAAGTTTTCCCATCGAGCATACTTACAACCTCCGTCATCGTCGGCCTCATCGACGGAGAACCGTTCGTGCACAAAAGCGCAACTTTCACCATGGTTTCCGCTTCTTCTCTGTTGATCCTCGACTCCAATCTCTCGTCAAAAAGCTCTTCATAGTGTTTACTCGTTTCCAACCGACAAGCCTGCATAATCGATTCAAAGAGTAATCAGATCTAGAGACAAATTTCAGTAAACTCAATTCAATTTTGGAAACGTACCCAATCTAGAAGACAAATGCAATCGTTTGTTGGAATGTAACTGTTGTTGTTCTTGCCGCTAACGATTTCTAATGCTAGAACTCCGAAGCTGTAAACATCTGCTTTATCGCTCAAGTAACCCCAAAGTGCATACTCAGGTGCCATGTATCCTCTGCAAATTGATCAAGATGTTTTTAGCACAAAAAACGGATTAAAGAAACAAATTTGTCGACTATTTTTGCAAGTATTTGAAGGATTACATTGTTCCAGCAACTTTGGTGCTAACGTGAGTCTTTTCATCCTCATTTAACCTTGCCAATCCAAAATCTGATATTTTAGGGTTCAGATCTTTATCAAGCAAAATGTTTGTTGCTTTGATGTCTCGATGCACAATTTTGATCCTTGATTCTTCGTGAAGAAAAGCTAAACCTCGAGCAATTCCAATACATATCTTGAACCTCGTTGCCCAATCCAACATCAATCGATTTTTACCCAAATCTACATCAACAACAAGAAGTTAGAGATACAAAATAAGGAGAATCAAACTGAAACAATAAGAATACTCACCAAACAAAGCGTTTGCGAGGCTGTTGTTTTCTAAGTACTCATAAACAAGCAACAATTGGTCTCCTTCAATGCAACATCCATGGAGTTTAACAAGATTCGGATGTTGTAAGCACGAAATCACACCAATCTCATTCAAGAACTCACGGTTTCCTTGCCTTGATTGAGCTGAAAGCTGCTTCACTGCAATCACAGTGCCATCACTCAATGTACCCTGCAACCATAATACAAAATGTTACAAACTCAACAATCACAATCACACAAATGAGTTTTTTACGATTATGACCTTGTAAACCGCTCCAAAACCTCCTTCCCCGATTTTGTTTGAAGGGTTAAAGTTGTCCGTAGCCGATTTTAGTTGTTTCAACGAAAATGAAATGGTGTTGAACTCCATTCCTTCAAAATCTATTCAATAAAAAGTTTGAGTAAATATAGATAAACTCACCACTCGTGTACGCATAGTTATGAAGTATCCGTACCTTTTTCATTAGTTCTTCGGCCTTTAAAACATTTTCTCCTCCACAAAATGACCAAGATTAACAATACAAGACATGGAACACCAATCCCAACACCAATATAAACGTCCTTTTTCGTCTTTTTTCCACCCGTTGAACATGTTTTAAAGTCTACAAAACGTAAAATTCCATCAAGATTCAAAAACCAAATAAGGGAAATTTTGTGATGAATGATATATTTGCATGCTTACATGGGTTAACATCGATAGCTGATATAAGAGGTCCATAGACTCCTCTTGTAGGAAAACGGGTCGTCCCTTTACCCGCCCAATAAAACCGTATCTCTAAAATTTTATCGGTCACACTAGCATTGAACGGTACAACCACCGGCCTTTCAACCCCACCGGCCTCATCTTCAATATTAAAATTTCTTCTAACACGCCGTCCCTAAATAACATACAACTCAAATAAGATAACAGACAACAGACAGACAGACAGCAATAGATAGAAGATAGAATCACCTGAATATAAATATCAAATATCCGACGACCAAGACTTCTATACGTGCTATCGTTAGTGAATATGATCTCCGCAAAGTGCAAATTGACCAAATATTCCCCGTTTTCCAAACAATAACCGAAGTAAGTGAGTGTAAGTGGCGAGAAACGTGCGGTTGTGTACAATGGTGACAAACTTGTGTTCCCCTTCAAAGAATCTACGTATCGAGTGTTTTGAAAAATATTGTCATCCATGAAGTCTCCGGTACTACTAAATCCCCAATTCTTGTCACTTTCATATAATTTTGCTGCACCACCATCCACGTCAGCATCTCCTTTGTAAAAAACAGATCGACCGTTACTTTCTCTAACAGTCACATCATTCCCACCACAATTAACATGTACTGAACACGCATCTGCCATAAAACAATATGAGAATCAACATAAAGTTGTGAAAATGAGGATTTTCCCATCAAGTCCAAATATTTTACAAATTTGCCCTCGTTTATTTTTTTCGTTCTGTGTCGTCGTTTGTCAAAAAAATAATATCATTTTAAAATGATACTTACATGTCGGACACTTGGTATCCTGGTTGCACGGAAGGACATCCTGTCTGTTGAGAAAATCATCATAAGTTTATTTTATAGATTGTAGCTACAAAATAAAAAATATAAATGATAGTAAAAGTAACGAAAACAATCTTACATCGGGTTTCCAGTTGAAGAGCTTCTAAACAAGTTCAAGTATATATTCCTGATATAGCAAGAAATGCACAAACACTTTATTTAAAACACCAATACGCGACAAGATGTCACAATATATTACTAATATATAAGTAATGAAATTTATTACAATAGGAGTTTTTACGTGTTTTGTCGACATGTGGGTTGATTAGGTCCTTGCCATGTAAAATTGTTGTAGGAAAGATCACTGCACCACATTAGTTAAATAAAATTGGTAATTTCTTAAAAATTAAACATTTATATTAACGAACTTTTTACGAAATAAACTTACATAGCAGCCCCATTTACCAACAATGCATCCGGTATGTCTCCACTTAGCATGTTACCTGTTAAAAACCTATCAAAAAACCCACATCAACATGTTTTGTTACCTTTAAATGGTAGATTCAAAATAGCTGACAATGACAAAACAGGTTGTACTATGTTTGGTGGACTGAGACTGATGTAATGAGGAAAAAGTTACAACTTATTGTCACCCTTACGACACATTACTTTTATTAATAGTAAAAGAATCACAATAAAATTTGAAAAAAATTCTCATTGTCACACTTACACTAAACGTATGCTTCTCCCGAGGATGTTGTTAGATATCCTCCCTACTAAATTGTTAAAACTTGTATCCCTATCAAATTCATTAAAAGGCGTCATTAAGAATATACATATCATCAAAAATCAAAAGAACAGAAACCCATGTAGAATATACTTACAACAATTCGAGTTCTCTCACTTGCCAAATATAATCCGGTAATTCTCCAGAAAGATTGCAATTTCTCAAGATCCTACATTTATATAAAATGTGAGTTTATGTATTTGTTATTATAAACATCGATGTTAAAGTTATCAACATACAATCTTATTAATCCCGTGGCATTGTTAAGGGGAGGAAATCTCTGAGTTGGACCACTTATGTCACTAATTCTCCTGCAATAGCATGGGAACCATGAGCTTATAACTTTCTTGATATAAAAAGATAATATTTCACGAAGAACAAGTGGGTCCCGTGAGTCGACTCACAGATCATTTAGGTTCTCGAGAAGAGATATGTTCGAAGGAATTGGTCCCGTGAGTCCACTCGCCACAATCTCTCTTCAAAAACATCCAAATATTAGAATTATGATGTGTTTGAAGGTATAACAAAAAATATAAAATAAAAGAACAATGCTTTAAAAGAAAGAAATTAAAGTGGGATCCTATAATATATCACAAATAAATGAAATTGTGTTGCTATTTCTTGCATTTAACCCGAAAAGAAAAGATAGAACCACTTACAATCTAGAAAGTAGTCTCCAATTTTGTATAAAATCAGGTATCGATCCACTGAAGTTGTTTTCGTTTATCCTACTGCATTATAAAGAAAAAAATTAAGTATTCTCAATTTTAGCCTACAAATAATGGCAAAATTGAAGAAAGTCAAAGATTTTACAAATTTGTTAGATTTCCTAGTTGACCAAGCGTAATTGGCAACCTCCCAGTCAACTGATTTGAGGACAAGATCCTGAAATTTAATATTTTTTAGTAAAATTACTAAATAAACTTATTTTTGAACAATAATTAGGTTTATAGATATTACTTAATTATTCTTACAACGATTGCAAATTGATTAATCTCCCTAAATCTGGTGGAATGGTTCCTGAAAATCTGTTTGCTTCAAGGTCCCTAATCAAGAATTTGAAGTGGATGAGTATATAAAAACATATCAACAAAAAGAATTTGATCCTTATGGTAAAATGTCCAAATTGCCCTCAAAATAAAATGAACTTACAGTCTTGTTAGAGTGGTGATATTGCCAAGTTCTGGTGGGATTTCTCCGGTTAACCGGTTGCCAAGAAGTGAACTGAATATGAAAGAATAAGGTTAAGATTAGAAACTTTTTAGTTATCATAAAATTAGATTATGAAATTAAAGGGTAAAAAGGAGATTTCACATTTCTTCTAACTGTGTTAAACCCCATTCAGGTGGAATCGTGCCTTGTAAGTAATTGTAAGCAACATCACTGCAAATAAAACGGAATATTCTTCAATTTCGTTAATCTGGAAAACTTTTGTACTAACATAGGTTATGAAATTAAAGGGTAAAAAAGGGATTTCACATTTCTTCTAACTGTGTAAAAGAGGACTTACAAGGACCGGAGGAAAGGAAGGTTTGCTAGTTCAGGTGAAAGAACGCCGTCAAGACTATAAAACTTGTGTGTGCTGCATACACAAATAAATTATTTGATTTCTATAACTTTCTACTAAAATAATAGCCAAAACTGATATTTTAAATAAAAAGGTGAATAGAAAAAAGAAAGAAGGGAGTTTATAGTTTATACATCCTTACGACATGACAATTTGTATCGTTTTCAATGTTGCAATTGCATCCGATGCTAGCATTAGCTTCTTGAGATAGCTTTGGGACTTCGGAAATGGTGTCAAGATTGCAATTGTCGCCATTAAACCTCCAACTTGTTGCATTCATGGCAGCAAGAATGCTTACAACAGCTTCCACTGAATTGAGTTAAAAGACAAAAAATCACATCTTTTTTCAACCAGAGTGTACAAGAAAGATTGGAAATCATCATTTGGTCAAAACTCAGAAGTCAAACTACGCATAAAGTGGGATTTTAATGATCTCGTTTAATATATATATCATTAGATTCAGTTACTCCCTAAATTATAACCAATAGATTAATAAACCTTTAAATTAATCATGAAAAGATGTAAGTTTTGACTTTTAAAGACAACCCAGGTCATAATGTTCTTACAATTTGGGGGAAAAAGTTTGATACAGATGCTGAACTTGTGAACATAAAAAAATCTGAAACCAATGGGGGTTTTCACTAAATGTTAAGAAAGATTAGGTTACCTTCTTGTTGCGGCACAATGGATTCAGCAAATTGTAGGAAGGGGACGAAGATGAAGGTTAGAAAGAGTATGAATGAAGCTTTACTTGCCGCCATTGTTGCAGAGGTCAGGAGTAGGTGGGGGAGAGGAGAAGATAGAGATGAATGTGGGTATGGGTTTGAAATTATTGGAGATCAATCTGCTGCAGTTTTTGAAGATTCGTAGACAAGATAAGTCAAATGTGCAAATCCTTTTTTAATTCTTGTAAGCAGTCGACATGAAAACTACTGATGATGATAGATTCATCGTTCAGACGGGTGTTTCTTGACTTATTGAGAAAAAACGTGCGGATTATGACCGGATTATGCCCGGTGGCGGTTATAATATGTTACGGTTAATGAGAAAAGTTGCAAAGGGGTTGATATTTGAATGTTTAATTGCATTTAGTTTATTAAACTTAACCATTATATTTTTAATTGAATGGGCTCTGACCATTTTAATTGAAAAATAATTATTAAATCTTTATGTAAATATCATAAATTAGATTTTGTAATAAATATTTTTGGTTAAATATATCTCATTAAATTTTTAATGATCTATGTAATTTACCAAAAATTACAACTTCAGTCTTCTCTTATATTTTTTTTTTTGACAAACATGGTCTATGTGGTTTTTAAATCATGCATGATTGGTTCCTATTTTTCATTTTATTACAAATTTAATCTAAAATTGTTATTATATCATTTTTTAATTTATTTTTCTTTTTCTTTCTTTTTCCAACAAGATCAAACTTACCAATTCGCCATTAATTATAAGGTTATTACTATTTCCGTTGCAATATATCTCACCACTTCGTATCATAAAAAATAATTATCACTAACAGGTTTTATAATATATTTTAATTATCATCGTACAACGAATGAGATAGCAAACGGGCAACAAGCTGCGCCGCTAAGCCTTTTTGTATGGTAAAATCAGTTCTTTTGAAGACTACATCCATAAATCTACGGGATATAACATTGTTATGCATGATCCGTTATACTCTATTAAGAAGTTTCACCGCATCCGAGTCACGGATATAACACATGTTGATTTTTCATGCACGATTTTTCATGTTTGGTGACTTTACCTGTAGCAGCTTTTAAAGCAGTCTGTCCCACTGTGAAACCCCCAACCCACGAGAGGGGATACACATGTATAGTTCACACATATGTGTTTCCCTCCAGCCCATCCAAAAATCAAAATGTCAGACGGTCTAAGGGTTGACCTTTTTTCAGCCGGGTTAGTCAAGAAATTCATAGGTTTTCTTGGCGGAAACTCTAACACACTTAAATATGTTAAACAAAACATCCCTAACCATATTGTGCATGTATTTGAACCATGTGAGTTATTTACAATGAACTGCATGCTCTCCAAAAGAGTCCAAACATGCCTTGCGGCACACCGGACATATCTCATCATGAAACATCCCAAAAATACCACCCAAAAATTTCGTTTTTAAAGCATTATTAAAACCATCATTTCATTACCAAAGTATAAAAACCATAAGCTATGTGTTTCAAAATCTCATAAGATCTATCACATGTCAAATCTCATGTCAAATATCATATCAAAATATCAGAGTAAAACTCCCAGGCTGAAGACTGTGGTGTGTGCCATGCGATCATCCCGAGCCCTTCCCTTTGCTAGTGGAAGTACCTGAAACCAAAATTGAAAATTGTAAGCACAAAGCTTAGTGAGCTCCCCAAACTACCACATACCATAAAATGACACATAAAGCACATACTAGGCCTTGCCCACTGCATTAGACCGAAGTCCGGAATATCTTGGGCCTTGCCCACTGCATCGAACCGAAGTCCGGAATAACTTGGGCCTTGCCCACTATATCGGACCGAAGTCCGGAATAACTCAGGCCTTGCCCACTGCATCGGACCAAAGTCCGGAATAACTCGGGCATTGCCCACTGCATCGGACCGAAGCCCGGAATAACTGAACATAACATATACATAAACATGTAACATAAACATATAACTACTGCATCGGGCTTGCCCGGCATCGGACCGATGTCCGGAACACAAAGCACATAACATAAACATGCATGAATCACAAAGACATCAGACATACATACTACTTCTCGGGATCACCCCGGCATCGGACCGAAATCCGAAACTACTATATCTAAACGGGCCGGCATTATGGCCGTAGACCCGTTCCTAAAGGAGGAAACTCACCTCCCGTAACTGGCTGCTGAAACACTGAGCGGAGAATATCTGGTTGCTGCTCCGGCGATTCTCCGGCTATAAATTCCACAATGACACTTAGTCAGAAACTAATAGCTATCCTGTAACGCTCGTAGATCCGGGCTAGTCAATCTAGAGATAATAAGGGTCGAAAACGACTTTTCGACAAAACATTATTTAGAATAAATAATCTTAACCAAGTTGTAGAATATGTCTCAAGGGTTCCGTACATATAAAGAACGCCGAAATCCGAGTTATAACGAAGAAGTTATGACCCGTCGAATTTTCGCGACGGAACCGGCACGGCACCGGGAAGCGTAAATAGTGAATTTACGATAGAGCGACTTTTAGCCTTAGCGACCTAAACGAAAGTCGTAGAATACGTTAAACCGAGAGCGTCCATAAAAAGAACGCCCAAATCTGACTTCGTATGAGGAAGTTTTGATTTTTCGAAGTTTCGGCTTAGCAGTGTACAGCCCGAAGTTCGAATATTAGAACGAGCGGTTTTTAGCCGACACAACCTAAAAGGGAATCGAAGATCTCGTTAATAGTAGCATAACGATAAAAAGACAGACAAAAACGGACGTCGGATGAAGAAGTTATGAATTTTTAACGGACCAATCATGTCCCCGCCTGTTAAAAATATAACTTTTAAAATAAAATCAAAATTATCCGACAGAGTCTAAACGAAAGTTGTAGAGTATGTTCCCGCCTACGTGTGGATATAAAGAACGTCGAAAACGGAGCTCATATGCGAAAGTTATGAATTTTAGAAGTCGGAAAGGAAAATTGCGAGACTGATGCGAAATTGATGACGTGGCAGCATCTGGGCCATCGCTTGCTGATCACGGCTCAGCCTTCGGATTCGGACACCTGGCTTACAAACGCAGCGCGTACAAGTAGAACGCCCAGCGTCCGAAGAACGCCTCGCGTCGGAAGGGAACGCCGCGCGTACTCGTATCCTTCATGCGGTCCGAGAACAAGCCACGTCGCCCCACCGAAGCCTCGACATCTGGCAGCCTTATCCGAGCTATGCCCCGCGTAGAGTTGCTAAACGCCCAGCGTAAAGTCCGAACTTCAGCCTACAAAAGGGGGTCGAGGCTGCCATCTTTTTCACACCAAAATTCATTCTCTCTCTAACTTCTTTCTCTCTCTAAAGGTTCCAAATCCCCCCTAAGCCTATGTAAACCCCCTAGCACCCGAAGGAAGCCCCAAGGCTCCCCGGAGTCCCGAGAAAAAGGGTCTTTCGGTTCGGAAATGCTGCTCCAAGCGAAGCCCGGTTTTCTATAAAACCCGCTGTAAGTGAGTTACGCCTATGCAATTTTTAATATAGCTTTTAAATAATTATAGTAACATTATTAGGACCTTAAAATAATTATTTGGTCTATTATTATGAGTTATATAGAGTGTTGTTTAACGTCTATATAATAATAATAATAGCTAGACTATTAATTAGTCGCGGTTAACATTAGACTAAACTCTAGTGGTAATGATACTATGTTTTGTCTGAGGGAAATTGTTTTAACAGTAACGAAGTGTTGTCCAAGTACCGAGTCATCACCTTATCAGCTGAGTGCATGGTCCCTTTCATCTTACACATACATATGAAGTATTTTATATAAACTATGTGTTATGTGTGCATATTGTCTGTATACTTGCTGTCTATGCTGGGTGAAAGATTTTTATACATGCTTTAAATGATTTAAAATGTATATATATATTTTATATCTACAAAATATGTTGGGTAAAACATGGGTAGATGAAATATGAGTCGGATGATGAGGTGAGAGGTGAAATAGACCATGAGGTGAGGGTGAGAGGTGGACGATGTGAGAAGCCTTGTACCCAAATGTTGGCCCCGTCATCTAGCAGAGTATAGATGACAACCACAGACCATTCTAGACAGTCCAGTGGAACACTAGCAGGCTCGCAACCTGTAGGTGTTGTGAACGATGTGTTCACCGGTGTACTCTCAAAACCCATTGACATGTATTGCGAGTGGATTCTCGGAAACGATACTGTTGATAAACGAAATAGCCCTGGCAGCTATGGATTTAGTGCCCGCTGAGTAAACCTTGGCAACTATGGATTTAGTGCCCGTTGAGAAAACCCTGGCAACGATGGATTTCGTGCCTATTCCTTAGAAATTGTTTTAACAGTAACGAAGTGCTGTCCAAGTACCGAGTCATCACCTTATCAGCTGAGTGCATGGTCCCTTTCATCTTACACATACATATGAAGTATTTTATATAAACTATGTGCTATGTGTGCATATTGTCTGTATACTTGCTGTCTATGCTGGGTGAAGGATTTTTATACATGCTTTAAATGATTTAAAATATATATATATATATATATATATATATATATATATATATATATATATATATTTTTATATCTACAAAATATGTTGGGTAAAACATGGGTAGATGAAATATGAGTCGGATGATGAGGTGAGAGGTGAAATAGACCATGAGGTGAGGGTGAGAGGTGGACGATGTGAGAAGCCTTGTACCCAAATGTTGGCCCCGTCATTTAGCAGAGTATAGATGACAACCACGGACCATTCTAGACAGTCTAGTGGAACACTAACAGGCTCGCAACCTGTAGGTGTTGTGAACGATGTGTTCACCGGTGTACTCTAAAAACCCATTGACATGTATTGCGAGTGGATTCTCGGAAACGATACTGTTGATAAACGAAATAGCCCTGGCAGCTATGGATTTAGTGCCCGCTGAGTAAACCTTGGCAACTATGGATTTAGTGCCCGTTGAGAAAACCCTGGCAACGATGGATTTCGTGCCTATTCCTTAGGATGATCCTTAGGAATGAATGAACAAGAAAATAGCTGATTCTTAGGGTAGATCCTTAAGAGTAAATAAGATAAAGGGGATGGTAATTGGGTTAATTGTTTGATGATCAAACATAATAATTATATTATTGTGGGTTGAAAACCCTATGTACTCACCAGGTTTCCCAACCTGACCCACTCAGTTTATTTGTATCACAGGTGTCGATATGAAGTTACATTACACTG